CAGACAAAAATATTGTCAATAAATGTGTCTAACAGGTTGTTATCTGGTCTGCACATGAAGCTTATGAACAACTACCTTATAGCATTTCACACCGCCAGGCCTTTACCAGGAACGTCAAACTTAGAGATAACTATCTGATATAATTTCATACCGTCAAGCCTTTACTAGGAACGTCAAACTTAGAGATAACTACCTGACATAATTTCATACCGTTAGGCCTTTACCAGGAACGTCAAACTTGGAGATAACTATCTGATATAATTTCATACCGTTAAGTTTAGAGATAACTGCCAGATCTTTAGCAGGAATGCCAATAAACGTTTGGAGACTGTATATTTAACTGTAAGCTGTAGTTATCAGTCGGCGCGTTACTTAATGATAACGTTTTTATTTCTATTATCATCTAATTTGAATGAATCTGAAATCTGATAATTCTTGAAAGCCTGCTGTTCCTGTCCAATTATTCATGTATCAGTGTTTCTCGATAGCTGTATCTAAACTACACCAATCTTAACCCTTCCTGTACTTCACTCTCAAAGTCTTAAAGGATTTATCTTTATCGTTGATATTTCCTTTCTCTATATTTTAATAACCTTTATGATAATCATGTCGCGCTGACACTATTTCCAAACCACCGAACAATCTGTATAGAACTGGCTTTTCTAATTAATCTATGTTTTATTTTTGTTTTTATTTATACATACTTCGACATACTGCTGAGCCACCGGGATAATTACTTTTAATCAGAAATTCATATTAACATTTGAGCCACCTAATAACACGATATTTCGACTTTCAGGACTGTTAGATTTTCCATGTGAACAAAAATAAGATCCAATTATGCCAAGATGTTTGTAGGTTGGGTAGAAAACCGCTTTTTTTTTTTACCTTTCAAGACATCTTCCATAACTTTATAAGCATTACATTAATAATATATTCAAATTATGCATTCATTTAAAATGTAATGTTTTTAATAGTTCGACACGAACCACGTGAAGTGAAAACTCCTGTTTTTCTCTCTTCTTTAAGTTCATTGGTTTGTTGAATTTCGCGGAAAGCTAATCGAGACCTACATGCACTAGCCGTCCCTAACTTAAAAATGATAAACTATTGGGAAGCCAACTCTTGGGGTACTCTTTCCCAACAAAAAAAGTGGGTTTAACGGTCACATTATAACGCCCCCACAGTTGAAATCGCAAGCATGTTCAATGACAGGGTTCTAACCTTCGACCTACAGGTTGAGAGTTAAGCGCCCTAAGCTATTGTGTGGTGAACGCGTGCTTTACCATCCGCAAAAGAAGCCGAATTCAAAACCACCACCCCTCGAAAATGTCAGGAAGCTTAGGAACACCTACCACAAACTTAAACTTAATTACTTGAATATCTTATATCTATCGATGTATTGAAGAAAACAAAAGTTGAGAAATGCCTTCATTTATTACTATACACATCCACCTCAAGAACAGATACAATACAATCCGCAAAGCGCTCTCTTCCACCTCAAGAACAGATATAATACAATCCGCAAAGCGCCCCATCCTTCTCAGTCTGAAGGCTTCAGTTTTAGAAACGATTAAAACAATCTTGAATTTAAATATACTTTATCCATTTACCCTTCATTGTTTACAGCGCGCCGAGAGTGTGATGGATTACGTTTTCTATCATGTAACTTTACATATTTGAAGTGAAGTAGCCTACTGTTCTTATTTTATTATTACATTCTGTATATTTTTTTCAGCTTTTGTCACACCACCTAGGTGGTAAATCTGATCGTCGTTCGGATATGTGTATCAATTTCATTCCAACAGTGTTGAAAACATTTTCTCACTTTTCGTGTACTTGACTTTTGAAAGTAACTCTGACACTCACGAGCAAAAATAATGTCACTTAATACCAATTGTTTACAAATCTTTTTATCTAATGGACATTTTACAGCATCCACACTGTGGGTAGTTTTATCTAATGGACATTTTACAGCATCTACACTGTGGGTAGTTTTATCTAATGGAGATTTTCACCATCCACACTGTGGGTAGTTTTACCTAATGGACATTTTACAGCATCCACACTGTGGGTAGTTTTGTCTAATGGAGCTTTTACAGCATCCACACTGTGGGTAGTTTTATCTAATGGACATTTTACACCATCTACACCGTGGGTAGTTTTATCTAATGGACATTTTACACCATCCACACTGTGGGTAGTTTTATCTAATGGACATTTTCAGCATCCACACTGTGGGTAGTTTTATCTAATGGAGATTTTCACCATCCACACTGTGGATAGTTTTATCTAATGGACATTTTCACCATCCACACTGTGGGTACTTTTATCTAATCGACATTTTACACCATCCACACTGTGGGTAGTTTTATCTAATAGTAATTTTAAAATAACACCACGTTTCATAAACAAGAAGAATTTTACACCATCCCCATTGTTGGTAGTTTTATCTAATGGACGTTTCCATTTAAAATATTTTAAAGTTTATGTGCAAATCAGAAAAACGTTTCAAAATTATTTGACTTAAATTCGTATCACTCGACTATCTCGTAGAAGTCGTTATGCCAAAGATCAGAGATCTGATCTATAATTAACAAATGTTATGGCTGGTAAGTATTTTCGATAGGAATATCGAAAAACGGCACGAAAGTGATTGACAGACGAGGAATGTCTCTGAGGGATGTTGAATCCAATATAATTGATTCAGCTCTGTCGATGTGATGTTATTTTTCGAAAGTTTTAGCAGTCTTGGGAAAGTATTATACGCAGGAATAATGTTTAAATAAACATACATTCCTAAAGAATATTAAAAAAGTTCCGCTACATTTGTATCCGTACATTTTTCTCCAGGCACTATATTTGAACAAGAATCCTTGCAGAAAAATATCCGAAATATATTTTTTCGAGGGGAGGGAAAAAGATTTATGTTTCATATTACTTAATATTACATCTTAGAACAACCTAACGGATGGAAAACTTTAGCATACTTTTAATAGGTACACGACCTTTTAATAATTTGTATGATAATTTATGCCTTAGAAAGTAATATCAATATCTATACCTTTAAAAATCTTAATACATCGAGATGAGTTCTGACATCTCTTTTCGTTGTGCTTACAATAAAATATATAATAACAACAACAAAAAAGGGCAAGAAAAATATCATGCAAGCACAAATATTTTGACTAAGACTGGTTATTTTTAAGCGCAAAGCTACATAATCGGCTATATATGTGCTCTGCTCACCATGGGTATCGAAACCCGATTCCTCAAGACTTTCCGTTGAACCACTGGGGAAGGGAGAGGGAGGAAGGGCGGCTAAGAGTAGGGACATTCAGAACCAGTTTTCAAAATGCTTACTTAGACAGGTTAGTTTAAAGTTGTTATTTTGAAAAATTTAGCCAAACGGTTAATTTTTTGAATATTTTTTAGTAATTAACATAATTAAATCTGCATCTTTCAAAAAAACTGCTTTTAATAGCCAATAGTTGTTTTGGTTTCCATCTGACCTCTAATATGTTGTAGATAAAATACTCTCGTGCTCAATGTACTTAATATTTTCACAAAATTTAACAGTATTGAATTTTAATTTCTTGTCTTTATTTTTGGGAGTTATTAGAAGTGTATAAAGAGTTGTGACACAATCGTGCTCTACATTTAGTCGGCAGTGTGCTAAAAGTTACATCCTGGTACTTTGAAGGATATATTGGATTAATCACTGTGTAGATTTCATTATTTATGCTAATTTTTTCGAGGAAATAAAACGACCACTCATATTGTTGCCACCCCCGGCGACGGTGAGAATGAAGGCTTATAACGCTAAAATTCGGGTTTTGACACCCATGGTAGAGAGTCCATTTTGTAGCTTTGTGCTTAACATCAAACAAACAAACGTATTATTATTTCTGAAACGCAATATGAAGAACACTTCATGACAGTTTATTACAGCAAGTTTCAAGGAAATACTTTATATGTATAAAGCATTAGAGCTTATTGGCATTTGATACATTTTGTTGGGAGAAAAAATACAACTAATTAATGATTATATGTAAAGCAACGTCATGTGTATTAAATACGTGTAAAAGCAGTACTATAAAATTATTCTCTTGTAATATAACAATAAATGAAATTCTGGCAACATAACATTGTGTTAATTCATGTAATATAACATTGTATCAAATTTTTGTAACAACGTATCACATCTAAAATAATATTGTACCAATTCTTGGGACATAACATTAATTAAACTTCTTGTAACAATAACATTAATTAAAATTCATGTAACATAACATTATGTAAAATTTTTCTAACATAGCATTGTATCACATTTTTCTAGCATAAACATTGTATCAAATTCTTGTAACATAACATTATATCACATTTTTGTAACATTACATTCTAACAAATTCTTGTAACATAACATTGTACTAAATTATTGTAACATAACTTCCTATAAAAGTATTGTAACATAACTTCCTATAAAAGTATTGTAAAATAACTTCCTATCAAAATATTGTAACATAACATCGTATCACACTTTTGTAACATAACATTGTATCGCATTCTTGTAACATAACGTCCTATCAAAGTATTGTAACATAACACTGTATCACATTTTTGTAACATAACATTGGATCACATTTTTGTAACATAACATTGTATCACATATTTGTAACATAATATTTTATCATATTCATGAAACATAAAATTGCAAAACTTCTTAGATATGTAATATTTGTAATATATTGTCGAACCAAGTGATTCGCCAACTTTAAGTTTTTGTAGAATTCTGAAAAACAAAAATTAAATATTTTAAATAAAGACAAGTAAATGCACTGGGAAAACCCTAGTTTTGTAGGCTATTCATAATGCATATTTGTTAGTTTTCCGTGTAACACTTGCTTTAGTTGACGACTCTTAAAACAAATTGTCACCATAGACGTTAATATCTCAAAGTGATCTTTTAGAAGTAAGTTTCTATTCTGAGATATAAACTGGAAAGGTTCTGGAATATTAGGGATATCTTCATGTTAGGATCAAAGATGGCTGAAACTTAATGCAAATGTTAGCTTGCTGTTACATTCCGAGACATTTTGAAGAACAAATCGGTAAAAGAAGAAAAAAAAATACATTAATTTGTTTTATGTGCATGTCTTTATAATTACTGCCCCCAAGTGGCTTAGCGGTAAGTCAGAGGGCTTGTAATGCTAAAAATCGAATTTTGATACCCATGGTTGGCACAGCACAGAGAGCCCAGGGTGTATCTTTGTGCGACAACAAAGAAACAAACTATATAATTACCAACCTGTGTTGGATATTTTAAAATGTTGAATGAAAGTTAATTTTTATGTTAGTTTATATTCTTATTTTCAGTAACGTTTTGTATGAACCAACCAGCTATCAGATGTGGATTTTTTATAGTTTCTAGACATAATGTATCATCAGCATCTTCTAGAACAGTTCTAACGTCTTTAAATCCAAGGGTAGGGTGCTGGGCTGTGAACCGAAATGCTCAAGGTACGAGACAGGATAACACACTTTTAGTTGTGGACGCGTTATAAAAGTGACAGTCAGTCTATTTATTAGATTTCTGAAATATACCAAAGGATTAATTAGAAAAATTAATAAAATTTTGCATCTTATCTTACAGCCCTACATCGAAATAAAATAGAAACTTCAAAATCTTTTCATACAGTTAATAATAACTTAAAAAATAATAAACTTTTTACTGGTAACAGGTTTAAGTCCACGTGCAACCACGGTTACCTCTATGTAAAAAATAACTTATGCGTTCTAGTCGGTAATAATGTACTAAAGAATCTACTTTCTACGTAATTCTGTATATACTGCCTGAGGAAGGAAGTCTACCTGATACATAATTCTGCATATACTGCTTGAAGAAGAAAGTCTGCCCGATACATAATTCTGCATATACTGCTTGAAGAAGAAAGTCTGCCCGATACGTAATACTGTATATACTGCCTGAAGAAGGAAGTCTGCCTGATACGTAATACTGTACATACTGCCTGATACGGAATACTGTATAAATTGCCTGAAGAAGGAAGTCTGCCTTATACATAATTATGTATATACTGCTTGAAGAATGAAGTCTACCTGATACATATAATTACACGTTTCTAGGTTTTATTTAGACGGGAGTTCACTCATCTTGTATTAACTGTGTCTGCTAACGTCTTGAGTAACTAAACAAAAAAAAAAAACCTGAAGAATGACTATGTTAAAGTACGAGGGCAGTTGTTTTTTACATTGTTGAGTTTCACATGCTCACGTGCTCTGTCCACAGTTCCTATAGATCCCAAGGCATTGTGGGACAAAAAGAATCATTTAACTTTTTATATTCCCATTTTTACTTTAAACATGTTTTAGAAGAAATTGAATATAAAGATAAACATAAGTTATATTTAAAATGAATGGCTTGTCAAATATATATATGTATATTGTATGTAAATATATATATATTCATATTATTTGAACTAAATAAGTTTCTCTGAAGCTGCATGTTGAATTTAAGGGGTGGTACGCGGGTAATTTTATCTAATTGCTTAAGTACGAAGCTGTTTTGGAAGTATTTTAATTTCTAGCCCTAAAATTATAGTTTTATGGACATTATATTATGAAAACAGTTTTCACAAATATCTGATAAAGTATTATATAAATCTGATAGAAACCTATTATTATACATATTTTTCCATTAAAAAACTAACAACTTTTGATATAAAAGTAAGTATAAATATGAACTTGTTGTATTATAGCAACAAGTTTGGAAAGGAACGCCATTTTGTGTACTGTAACATTACAGGGCTTTTAAAAATCATGTAACAAGATCCTTGTAACCCTCTCGAGAGCATTAAGAACTCTAGTTTACATCTACTGCAAGCTTTATAGCAGAATCTTTTCAAGTACATCTTCAAATGCAGGTGCTTCTTTCCAAACATCAACTTTGCCGCCCGTTTGTAAAGGATCATCATTATTCATTAGTGAGGACTAGAATCTCTCCGTGATCAAAAGGGACAAAAGTCTCGTGGAAATCCCCAAGGGAACTTCCCTTTCTTTCAAAGATAACTCTGAATCCGAATATCGTGTTCCACAAACCGATCTGACGAAAGTACTGTTTGTGTTGAACATGTGATACCCCGAATCTTTTCTCTCCCTAACGAAATATCGTAAAGTTTGCCTTTTCAACCAAAACACGAATAGGATTTTTTTTAATACAGCTTATATGTTTCCTAAATACAAGAAGCTTATTGATGTACAGTATTGACTTTAGGGTGCGTGAAATGTGTATCTACGTGAGTGTTTACCAAACAGTGACTAAATAAATGAAGTAACCGGATAAACTTTTGCATTCACCTGCGTTTTCTAGATTTTTTCTTAGATGGGGTGGAGAAGGAGAATGGGCATATATTCTCACACACTTATTTATGTTTGTTTTGTTTTGTTTTTTTAATTATGCACAAAGCTACACAAGGGCTATCTGTGCTCTGCCCACCACGAGTATCGAAACCCGGTTTCTAGCGTTGTAAGTCCGCAGACATACCGCTGTGCTACTGGGGGGCCTTATTTATGCGTCTATAAAATCTGCAAACGGTATAATCAATAGTTTAAAATGAACTCATGATAAATGTAATAAACTTAAGCGTATCAAAAAATTAAAATTCGATTGCAGACCTTTGACGTTTTAGACTTTATTTTTTCTCAAAAGCCCCCTCCTCCACCCCCCCAGTGGCACAGCGATAATTCTGCTGACTTATAACGCTAGAAACCGGGTTTCGATATCTACCCGTGGTGAGCACAGCACAGGTAACTCATTGTGTTTACTTTGTGCTTAACCAAGAATGAATAACAAAACAAACAAACAAAAATTCTTACTCAAAGTTAAACATTTTTATAAAAATCCACAGTTAAGACTAAACTTGTAATAAAAATGTAAGCAGGTTATTCTTGTTTATAATAATATATATTTGGAGATAATAATAATAAATAGCTTTCTATTCAAAACGTAGGAAAGATTTACACCTTTCACTTGAAATCGGTAAAAGGATAATCGAGCAAAAACAGCTCCAGTAATTTCGTGGTTTTAATTTACTTGTAAAATATAGTTATTAATGTGCTTACCTCACTTTGTAGATTGTTTCATAGAAAAATAATGGAAAAAAACACTAGAGTTAATCCAAATTTGGGGTTAAAAATATCGAAAACCGTAGAAAACATCAAACGTCTCAGAGCCATCTTGTAAAATCGAGAGAAATCACTCTTTTTTTAAGTTTATTTATAATTTGATTAAATCCTATGCCGTAGTAACATCTGGTTTTGGTTTTATCATCTGCATATTGGATCAAAGCCGCTGACGAACATATCCACTTAGCTCTTTGCACGCCTTAGTATTTTTCTACACAAAGACTGAACATCATTATAAGGACAGCTACCAAGATAGTGAGTGCGTGACTACATTATCGGCATGTTACCTAATGAATCATATTCGAGTTCCACAGAGCCACAGTTTAGACTTGAATTGTAGTAAACCGACTTTATACGGACTATAAAAAAATATTAATTTAATTACTTACTTCCTCTCCAAACTTATTCTATACTTCAAATAAGCTGACCTTAGCAGTTCTTATCATACCGTGATGTTACTTTATGAACAATAGCATATTTTTTATATAATGAAAAGGGTTATTCTCTCAAGGCAACATATGATAATTAATTGTCTTTTAACCAGTTGCTACTATCAAACGAAATGCTACAGAAAACATGGGAAAAAATTGAATTAGGATAGTATAATAAATATTTCGAACTTAATATTATATAAGTTAGTGTATCAAGCAGGCCAGTTCCAAGTAACAGGTCTGGTGGTTAAGGCAGGTCAGTTCCGAGTAACAGGTCTAGTGGTTAAGGCAGGCCAGTTCCGATTAACAGGTCTGATGGTTAATTTTTTTTTTTAATTTCACGCAAAGCTACACGAGGGCTATCTGCGCTAGTCGTCCCTAATTTATCAGTGTAAGACTTGAGAGAAGGCAGCTACTCATCCTAACCCACCACCAACTCTTGGGCTACTCTTTTACCAACGAATAGCGGGATTAACCGATACATTATACCGCCCCCACGACTGAAAGTGCGAGCATGTTTGGCTGGACGGAATCTGGTGGTTATTGCATGCCAGTTCCGAGTAACAGGTCTGGTGGTTAAGGCATTTCAGTTCCGAGTAACAGGTTTAGTTATTAAGGCATGCCAATTCCAGGTAACATGTCTGTGGTTAAGGTATCCCAATTCCAAGTAAATCTGTGGTTAAGGCATCCCAGTTCCGAGTAACAGGTCTTGTAGTTAAGACAGGCCAGTTCCGAGTAACAGGTCTGGTGGTTAAGGCATGTCAGTTCCGAGTAACCGGCTTGGTGGTTATGATATGCCAGTTCAGAGTAAAAGGTCTGGTGATGGGCACAGGTTCGAACCCCTTCACCGAACATGCTCGCCTTTTCAGCCGTAGAGCATTATAATGTGACGGTCAATCCCATTTTTCTTTGGTAAAAGAGTAGCCTAAGAGTTGGCGGGTGTATAATGTTGACTAGCTACCTTCCCTCTGGTCTATCACTTCTAAACTAGAAACAGCTAGCGCAGATAGCCCTCGAGTAGTTTTGCATGAAATTCAGCAAAACAAACATACAGACTGAGTAACGTTTGATTATTTTGATATGAATGGTTTGGTGACGTAAAATGTCTGCTTATTTACAGAAAATGTATGTTTTTGATATCTTTTTGTTACTTAACGGCATAACTGCTACTGAAATGTTTATAATCGATAAAGATTTTATTGAAGTCTAAAGATGGATTACTGTTCCTTCATGCATAGGAAGATCCATCAGACGGGAGAAGGTTTTGTTTTACCTGGTGGCATTCATCTCTTCTCCAGTTAGTCGTCCCTAATTTAGCAGTGAGAGACTATAGGGAAAGACAGCTAGTTACAACCACCCACCGCCAACTATT